CGGCAAATCAAATTTGTTCCATATGTACATAATATAGATATGATAGACTGAAAAAAAATTTATCACTGCGCGTATTAAAATAGCTGACGTTCGTGCCAATGCAATATTGTGGAACATTGTTTACATTGACTGAAATTTAATGTCCCTGAAAAATACGTAATAATGTAGAAATTTCTCATATATTGCGCGCTCCTTTATACTTTGTAAATAAGAGCCTGAAAATACTAGTGAATAACTTATATGAATGTCACAAAAACGAATTGTATAATATGGGATGTTCCAATGAGGTATTGTATATTTTGATGAAATAGGAATAGAGATTCGTAATGTGTCGCTAAAATGTACAGACTTTTGGGACATTCTGTATATTTTACATATATATATATATCATTTAAACAGTTCTAGCTTAATGTATTATGCCATGTAAATACAATATATATATGTATATGTATACATATATATCAATATAACATTGTCAACTAATAATTTATACTTCGCTTCAAGCTACATATGTGGCAGGCGCCATCATTTAAATAACATGCATTCACGCGTGCATCATTCTTATAATAATTAATCTCTCTCTCTCTCTCTCTCTCTCTCTCTCTCTCTCTCTCTCTCTCTCTCCTCCGCTTCTTTTTTCCCTCCCCTTCTTTCTCACTCATATACATACACATACAAACACCACACATAAAACATAACGAGAAACATTCAAAACATCTAAAGGATGTCTGAAATGTTAAGAGATGTCCTTTGAGATGTAACTTCTCAGATATTCAAACAAAAAGTCCAAGACGTTCAAGAGAAAAATGCCTGAAAAATTTAAAAACTTTTCTTTTTAGAACTTATATTACTTATATTACTTATTTTAGAACTTAAATTTTCAGACTTTTTTAGGAGCCCATCAAGACTTTATGTTACCAGTTTGACTAAAAAGTAAGGCAATAAATTGTTTACAGACGTCCCTTAGATATCTTTTAAATTTCGCGTTCCCGGACATTCCCACGCACACGCAAGCGTCATATACCGTATAATAACATGAAACATAGTCTCACTCGGTTTAAACGGCTCTCGAAGACTAAAGACTTCCAAAATGGATCACAGTCTGTCTCTGCACACGTCGAGATTCCGCCAAACTTTCAAATAGAAACGACAACGTAATAAAACAACCATCTCCATCGCGCTTTCGTCGCGATAAAACAGCTTCTCTACGACGTTCCTGAGAATATTCGAAAATATTTGCATTTTTTTTTTTTTTATAAAACCCAACAGTTCTGCAATTCTTTAATTATACACGAGTTCGTATTTCAAAATTAATTCTATAAAATTATAACTTAAATATACAATAAATTATCACTTGTCCAACGCGAATATTAAATTAAAAATACATTCCATTATTTCCTTTTTATCGATTCATATTTTTGAAACGTATAAATAAATATATATATTAAATGTATACGTAAGTACATATCTGTAAAAAACGTAAAATTAATAAAATTGCTGTCCTCCCATATTAATACAGGGAACGCGATTGCATTCTGACAAGAGACTACTGAACACTGGAGATACTTGCGAGGAATTTATTATCAATTTATGATGGAACGTGTCTCATATATTTACACGAGCGAATTTCGTCTCTCGGATTGAAAACTGAAGTATATCGACTGGACGCAATTTCATTTCTTTTTCTTGACAAATGCGGATGCGTCAATCACGCGGATACACAATGGATTCTCACTTATTCTGTTTTTATTTCTAATTTAACGATTAACTTTATATGAAGAAAAGTGATGATATATCAAGAGGATTACATGGAGAATGAAGATCAGTCGATTTGTTTACGTTTATCGTACACCAATTTGTCATTCGAGATCTGTATGTTAAGGCTATGCGAAAAAATACATTATTTCGTGAATTAATATTTGTAAAATCACGATAATCAAAACAACTAAAATCAATGGCTGCGTCCAGCAAAGAAAACTGATCAGTAAGCGCTCAGTATTTCTTTGATATGATTGCTTCTTGTCTTTAGTTCTTTGTTAGAACCAATTATATTAAAGTGTAGGAACCAATCATATTAAAGAATCATCGAGCATTTATTATTGATCAGTTTTATCTGTTGCATGCAGCTAATATCATTCCATGTTTTTTGTGATATTTTTCTATTTGTTCTAAAAATTAATACCTCGGAGTTAGCATTTATAAAAAAAAAATCAATATATGTAATACTTGATACATTACAAAAAAAAGGTTTAATTATATAAGGTGAACTTGCAGTTCGTTTAACGACATATAATCGTCTGTTATAATTTTTAAGAGACATCATCATTAAACATATTATTACAAATCTCAATAAATCGGTTTTTAAAAAATAATCCTCTGGCGATTATACCTTACGACTTCGAGTTTCAGGAAATAGTGATAGTCGAAAAGTTTTTCAGATGTAATCATTCAGTTTCTTAAAGTGCAAACGTTTCAATAACATTCCTTATTATACATATATGAATTGTATTCATTAAATAATCGGTATAGATTCCTTTATTGTGAATCTATAATGTCAAAAATGGTCACAGTATCGTCGCGTGTTCCAAATCTGTGTATATAGGAATTAATATAAATATTAATATAACAGATAAATGTGCTTACAATCAGTCAAACATTAATTCACGCTCGGAAGATTGCATTTTTTTGGTCGCTTCGTAGATAATTGCATAGTTTCTTAATCATTCTCTTCAGTTGATATTAACTGATATGCCGGAGGGATAAAACATTGTCGATCGGAATTATAATGATGTATACGGAATAATTGTTTGAACATTAAATATCGCCGTATATATATTTCCGTATTCTCGCTCTCGCACGTTTATATTTCCGTACTGCAAAAATCCTTTATCAAAAAACGTGGCGGCGGTCACTCGTAAAAAAGGCAACAATGATAACGATCGCAATAGAAATGGAAAAGTCCTCGACAACTTTCCCTGCGATTAATAACTTCTCTAATGGCAGTTATTTATCACTCATCTCCCTAAATCGGCTAAATTCGCGGAGACTAATTAAGTCTAGTCTTTGACGTTTTTCTCTCAAGATCTAAGCTAATCCAATAAATATGGAAGAAATAAATATCTCTAAGCTCTAGTGCCATCTTTACTCGACGATTCATCATCGCCTCGATAGGCCCGGCCGAAAAAAAGCATAATTTAAGACTTCGTCCCATATATTCGTATTCCTATCTATATCGCATTTATTGCAGAATGCGGCTTTTCCGAACGAAACAAAAGTCTGAATTTCAAGACGGGAGATTAGATTCCGCATGTCTTCGTGATTGCCTTTTGTTAAACACTACGTCGCTCAGATCTAATATACGAGGATCATATTGAAGCTCAGATAGCCGCAATTAGCATTAAATGTGTAACGCGTTTAAATATAAATTGTCTTATCGCCACAACCTGATACTAAACGTTCCTACGTTTTAATCTCGGAATAAATTGCTAAGATAGCTACATAGAGGGAACGCCTCATCGTGATGGATATGGACAAAACGCGATTTGAAAATTAAAATTTATTGTATATATGCATATTTCTTATAAAATAGACACTGGCCGCTACATGGCGAAGTGTGCGTAATCTTGAATTTATGGCACTTGGTAATGGAACGTGCGGTGATTAACAATAAAAACTCGATAAGTAGCAGATTGAAAGGAAACTTTTTAAATTTAACGAGAAGGTTACCTAGCCATTCTAACTAGCTTGCGATTGTATTACCGGAGCACCTCTATGTAACATCGAAGCGGGCCGAGATTTTCGACCGCCGGCCGCAGACGTCGATAAGCTCGTAGGCGGTTGCTGATGCTGTTGTTGTTGTTGTTGCTGCTGTTGCTGTTGGGCAGCCAACTGTTGAGCCATTGTCGAGTCCCGCCTCGGAATTTCCGGCGGTGACTGAAGCACTTCCATATACTCACGGATTAGATTCGCTATTTGATGAGCCTGAAGAAAAACAATGAATAAAACAATTAATGAAGTTGAATATTGAATATTGAATATTGAATTAAATAGATATATATCTGTATATATAAGGTCTAGTTACACACACACACACACACACACACACACACACACACACACACACACACACACACACACACACACACACACACACACACACACAACATCTGCATATACCTGTTACATCAAAAAATTTATATAATGTTTACCTAGAAAAAAATCTGGAATTATTTTTTGCATAGAAAAATTTTCAATTGTATTAAAAATCGAAAAATTTTTATTGAGGATTTTATTTCTTTAATATTGCTTTATTATTTTGCGAGTACCATATAAAAAATACTATATTTTTATATAGTGACTCAAATATTTAAGAAACTTTCTTTTTTAATTAAATGTTAATACTTCGTGTCTACAGCAATTTCTATTTTATTTTATCTGATATTTTTACTTTGCTTGAAGACGTAAATAAAAATTCCTAGAAAATTAGAAAATTTTGAATAAATTTTTTCCAAAGGTTGAGTAGACATGAATGATGACATTTCACCGCTTGAATCACATTACCTGCGACGTAGTGAGGATAACCTTGCTCTGCTTCTTATCCGTACCAGTAATAATCATCAAGCAATTAACGGCAGGCGTATAGCTTAAAATACTGCTATATTCATAAGTACACAACGCGTTTCTGGAACGGTGTTCTAAGAGATGAAGACCCTGCTGGTCAACGGCCAGCCAGAGGACGCGAGGCCAATTCGAAGTAAACGATTGCATCACATCGAAGATTGTTGCGCGATGCAACGGCCACGACTGGATCAGATTTAAGAAAGCTTTTTTCGCCTCCGGCGGTGTCATTCCACGTAGAGATTGATGATGTTGGCGCACACCATCCACACACAGGCACGGCACCAGTCTCGATGATAGGCAGTGACTCGATATTGTTCGATAATCCGGTTCCGATATGATCTCTTGACAATCGCCCAATTCCAACTGCGCTTGTAAAGCCGACAGCATCATCTGAAAGTGATATTAGTCTCGTGAAATTCTCTTTGAACTGATAATAAC